TTGATTATTTGCCATTTGGCTTTGGTAAGAGAGGATTGTTTTGGTTTTTTTTAAATAAAGATATCCAGTTTCATTGACCATTACACGCCACACTGAATGTGTGCTTTGCACTTTGGAAGCAGTAGGTCAACTTCGTTTTGTACAGTATCTGCTGTGCAGACTGTACAGAAACCCACAAATCAGGTGGGATCATCAGCTGAACAGAAAGCTTTCAGTGCAATGTGGCAGCCAAAAGGGCTACCAGGACACCATGCATTAGCTCTTTTGGCCGCTACATGGCACTGAGTGCTTCTGTTCCCCTTCGATACGTAAACAGGAGAATCTTAAACAGGAGGAGAGAGGTTATTATACCTCTGTATTTGGTGCCGGAATCCCGCATCCAGTTCTGATGTCCACAATTTAAGAAGGATAGTGATACGTTGGAGAGGGGTCAGAAAGGAGCCACCTTTAGAAAACATGTCTTATAATGAGACTCACAAAGATCAATCTATTTAGTTCAGCAAAGAGAAGGTTAAAGGGTAACTTGACAGTCTGAGGCTACAGCTACACGGCTGTTTTTTTGCAGAAGAGGATATGCAAATCGCGCTCTCATTTGCATATTTTCTTCCGATTCTTTTTGCGGAAAAGGTTTTGCCGATAAAAAGCCCGTGTAAACGAGGTTTTGCTGATAAAAAGCCCGTGTAAATGGGGCAATCTGTTGGAACCCCCCCGCCTTTTGCAAGATCCTGTAAACCTCGATTTTTGAGGAATAAGGGATCTTGCGAAAAAGTTCTTTTTCCTGACAAATGGCTCCGTCTACATGGGGCTTTTTAGCAGCAAAACCTCTTCCGCAAAAAGAATCGGAAGAAGATATGCAAATATGAGCATGATTTGCATATCCTCTTCCACAAAAAAGTGGCCGTGTAGCTGTAGCCTAAGAGTACAGGTTTGTACCTCCCTGGTCTGGCACTCTCGGGACCTGACTGGACCCGGATGAGAGATTTTGCCAGACCAGGGGAGGTCATTTCAGGCCCCTTTGCTGTCGGCTTCACCCCTCAGACAATGTTGCCAGACCAGAGAGTTCCAGTTTATAGAGATGCAGCCTGTACCTACTTGAGGAACACATTAAATAAAGACTCTTCCATCTCGTGTAGAAAGGTAGAACATGATCCAGAAGCTAGACAAATCCAGACTGGAAAAAGGTGTAACTTAGCAATGATTACAGTGAATTCTCCATCAATGTTTAAAATCAAGATTGGATGTTTTTCTAAAAGATCAGCTCAGGGGATTATTTTGGGCTTGTCCTTAGGTCCATGTTGTCCAGCTGGTCAGACTAGATTTTCACAGTAGTCCCTTCTGGCAGTGCAATCCTGAAATATTGTTACATCTGTGCTTATGTCTAGACTGAATTCCTCTCTAGAAAGAGGATTGCAAATGAAGCAGATCGAAAATGCAAATGAAGTGTGGATTTACAAATCTCGTGCTTCATTTGCATAATCACGTGAGCATGCTTTTTTGAAAAAGGGTTTTTCAGGAGTCCGGGTTCTTTTTTTTCCAGGAGTACAGGTTCTTTCAAAAAAGGGTGTTTTGTTTTTTTTAAAGAACCCCGTCTAGATTGTGATTTCTTTTTTGAAAAACCCTTTTTCGAAAAAGCGCTCTCACGCCATAATGCAAATGAAGCGTGAGATTTGCAAATCCGCGCTTCATTTGCATTTTTGATTGGGCTCATTTACATTCCTCTTTCCAAAGAGGAATGTAGTGTAGACATGCCAGAGTGACACAAAAGCAGGGAGAAAGACACAAACCGGGTAGTAAGGGGGAAGGACAAGAGGAGGAAGATGTTTTCAGCTCTAGTTTGAAATGTAACAAAGGGCCTGATCCCATCCTCAATTGCATCAGTGTAAATCAGGAGCAAGTCACACCACTGCAGTCACTGGAGTGATACGGGTGTCCAGACCAGGGATTTTAATGAGTCCTTATCCCTGTATGCATTTGTATTATTTAAAAAACCGTCTTTTTGTATCTACAAAGGAACAAATACATGGAAGACGTAATCAGAGAGTTGTAATATCCTAGACAGGTGTGTGTGTAACCCATGCACCTAGCGTGGTTACTGAGTAATGCAAGTGACACCTAGAACACTGCAACAGTTAAGATCAAGAGACCTCTACAGTACAGGCTAGGAGACAGCTGGCTTTTAGCTCAGAGGGTAGAGGCTCCTATAGTCAGCGCCTGAGGTTCAAATCCACCTTGGTGGTGGTTACAAGTGCACCATGCACATGTATCTATTTTCTTCCCTACATGCCTGAGCAGAGACATCCAAATCAGCAGGCTGTGACGTTGCGGGGGGGCTGTCTGCCCTGTAACCCGGTGTCCCCCTGAGCTGTGATGTGTAATTCCCACTGACTCACCCACATGTGTACTGGCCCAGACACCTAGGCCCAGCAAAGCTCTTCCCAGGGGGAGAGACAAAGGGAGGGAGGTGGAGACGAACACCAGCTGTGGGGGGGAAGGGTCAGTTGCTGGCTAGAAACCATGAAGGGAACTGTAGTAAGTTGAGGGTCAGTAACATGGAGTCAGCAGGCCTGAATAGAGGCCTGTAACATGAAAACAGCAACAGGCCTAGAATCTAGTGAGCAAGACTTTGATTCAGTAACACAAGAGCCAAGAAAGAGGCCCTACTGATAGTTGTGTGACTGTGTAAGTTAGGTGGAGCATGGAAGGCCACAGGGAGGCACTGGGTACAGACTGTGAGCCAAAGGGGAGAGCGGAACATCTTAATAAGAAATGTCTTGGTACAAAGACTCCCCAAAAACTAATGCGTATAGCGACCTAGGTTCGAGATTGACAGCATGACGGATAGTAAGTAAGCCCCCCTTCCGTAAGGTGAGGGGTGGTAACTAGGCAACAGAGGGTGGCAACCTGGTACGTAAAGAAGTGATGTAAGTTTTTTGTACCGTTCTATAAAAGGACACCGCAAAGGGTGCTCTCCGGCCGACCTTGGGGGGCGCACTAGGTGCTTGATTGGCAGGTGTCAGGGTTTATCGCGTCTCCAGGATACAGCACAGCATAGACATGATGCGGTTACAGGAGTCAAGGCCAAAATGCTTCAGACCTCTGAGGTTAGGGGGTCCATGCCTCCCCCTCCCCCCCCCATATCCCTCAGTCCTCCGCTTAGGTTGTTCCTGATGTATCTCAGTGTTCTGTACCTCGGTACCTTCGGTGGTCTGAACTGTCAGGGGCAACGTTGTCTGGTCAGGGACATCCTGGCGCGCTCCTGACAGGACATCTACTCAGTCAGTGATGATAAACTTTCGGCTGCGTACGTAACTATCGGTATTCCCTTTATCTAGAGCGTTAGACCCCGTGCACTTGAGTCAACACAGGAGATCTTTGGGGCTGTGTCTAGACTACATGCCTCTGTCGGCAGAGGCATGTAGATTAGACACACAGGCAAAGTCAAATGAAGCCGCGATTTAAATGATAGCGGCTTCATTTAAATATACATGGCTGCCACGCTGAGCCGACAAACAGCTGATCAGCTTTTTGTCGGCTCGCGCGCTAGTCTGGACGTTCCCCCTGTCGACATCAAAGCCCTTTGTCGGCAGCCCTGGTAAACCTCATTCCATGAGGAATGATCAGCTGTTTGTCGGCTCAGCGTGGCAGCCATGTATATTTAAATGAAGCCGCTATCATTTAAATCGCGGCTTCATTTGACTTTGCCTGTGTGTCTAATCTACATGCCTCTGCCGACAGAGGCATGTAGTCTAGACACAGCCCCAAAGATCTCCTGTGTTGACTCAAGTGCACGGGGTCTAACGCTCTAGATAAAGGGAATACCGATAGTTACGTACGCAGCCGAAAGTTTATCATCACTGACTGAGTAGATGTCCTGTCAGGAGCGCGCCAGGATGTCCCTGACCAGACAACGTTGCCCCTGACAGTTCAGACCACCGAAGGTACCGAGGTACAGAACACTGAGATACATCAGGAACAACCTAAGCGGAGGACTGAGGGATATGGGGGGGGGAGGGGGAGGCATGGACCCCCTAACCTCAGAGGTCTGAAGCATTTTGGCCTTGACTCCTGTAACCGCATCATGTCTATGCTGTGCTGTATCCTGGAGACGCGATAAACCCTCTCCGTTCTACTGGCTGGTGGAGTCTGTTCTTGCCGCTACAGGGCTCCAGGATCGAGGGGAACCCCGACTTGCCATCACACAGGCCTAACCCCAGTGCAATCAATTCAGCCGCATCAATTTAGCCAGTTCAACTGAACAGAGAGTGTGAAATCAACTCTCAGTGACCACACACCAGTTACCCACAGGTGGCTCCTATGTGAAGGCAAATCAAAACTGAGTGGGTGAACTTTAAAGTCGCCATGCTCTTGCATTGGCCACATGAGCTTTAACAGAGGTCTCGTGTGCATGGAATACATACATTGAAGTAATTTATTAAATCTAGCTGCAGGAAACCTTACTCTCTTTTCATACAACGCACTAGCAGAGAGATAGTTAACATGATTCATCCCCATTAAATTCCAATCTCAAACTGGAGGTTTCTGTCCACAGCAAAGATGAGACATTGAAAATGAATTATAGAAAAACCATCACCATCAATTCTATCTGAAACAGCTTTTAGCTAAGTCTCAGGTAACAAATTGCCTCCCTGGTTAACCTCATGCAGACATGCTGGGGCTGGAAAGAGACAGAAAGGCACTGTGCATTTGTCCTGTGTGACATCAGTCGGGGTGGGTGTGTTCCTTTTTTTTTTTATCCTCTCAGCCTGAAACTGGATGCAGCAGAGGAGTCTGATTGCAAGATTAATTAGGCATTTTCAAAAACCTGACCGCTGGGGGGAAGAAAGGAAAAGGTATACCTGCTGCCCTGACGCGGTTCCCTTTCTCTGCAGAGGGAAGGATAGAAGGGCGGGAGAAGGGGGAGAGTTGGGGGAGTAGAAAAGGAGAGCCAGCGGAGGAAAACCAGAAGACTCAGTCCTACGTGTGGAGTCGTTGGGAAGAGGAGCAAAGAAAGACTGCGACCCTCTGGATCAAAGCCATGACATCGTCTGTTCCTTGGGCATTTCTTGCCCTGCTGCTGTTCACTTTCAAGTTTCAAAGTGAAGGTAAGGAAACTTACGGGAAAGTGAAGGTAAGAAAACTTATGGGAAGGTGAAGGGGGCTTCTTTAAGGAGTGTTTTAACACAAACCTGGTACCTTGGTTTGGACTATTTCATGCATTTCTTTCTGAAACCAATGGTCCGTACAGCCTGAAAAAGGGGGAAACCCTCCGCCCAGGTTATGGAAAGGGTTAAGTGATGCTGCAAGTTCATAGGAATACCACAATTGCAGGTCAGGCTCTGAAGTAGAGAAATAAGCACTAGCCGGTGTGACAGGCTAAAAGGGTGTTTTAGTACCACTCAGCTGTAGACTTGCTGGTTAAAAGGCTGCAGAGTTGAAAAGTTTAAACTTGTTCAGTGAGAGAGAATTTAAAAGTGGAGAGTGAACACAGTGATTTATGTATCCGTTTGGAACCTGTTGCCCAAGTGTTTGAGCTGGGTAAATAGATTCCCTACAGATGCCCACGTAAGCTCATCACCTAATAAACCATCTTGTTAGTCTTTAAAGTGCTACATAGTCCTGTTTTTTTGTTTCAGCTACACCAGACTAACACTGCTACATTTCTTTCACTACAAATGCTTTGTTTTTCATAACATAGGACTGCATTTTTTCCAATGCCAGTTAACAAAACAGCTGCTGGGCTTGTTTTTCCATGCTCCTACTTCCAAACAACACAGACTTCTACAGCTATCTGTCCGTGATTAATTAGGAATGATTATTTATTGTTTTTGTGCACTTTTCTGAGCAAGGGAAGCAACATTCAGGTACGCATGCAGTTGTAAGGGGATAGCTGGGATTTCCTTTAAAGGCAGGTTGGAAATACTCTTTCATTGACCATCATTTCTGGCCCCCCAAACTCACGCACTAGTTTATCATTAGAGCAAAGCCACAAAAGAGGGAAGGAAGGAATTGTTGTCATGAGTAATCAATGACAAATCCAGGAAGGAGAGGATCTGATTCTGAGCTGGAGTAAATCATAAGAACGACCGTACTGGGTCAGACCAAAGATCCATCTAGCCAGGTAGCCTGTCTGCCGACAGTGGCCAGCACCAGGTGCCCCAGAAGGGGTGGACCGAAGACAATGATCAAGCGATTTGTCTCCTGCCATCCTTCTCCAGCCTCTGCCAAACAGAGGCCAGGGACACCAGCATAGTTCAAGAGAAGTAATCAGCCTCAGTGGATTTTTTACCAGCGGGCCCCAAATATATTTAATGGGGGTGTGGGAGAGAAACACAACGACAGAGCAAAAAGTGAGATCAGCTAGGAAACCACTGTCCCAGAAGTGGTCTAACAAGGCCAGAACCCAACCTAGACAGCAGAGGATGCAGCAGGCAGCTGAATGCTGGCCCCTTCCCGCCCGAATCACTTCATGCTTCACTGCTGCTCCACGAAAAGCAAATGTCCCATCTTAAACCCCTCCAGCCACCAACATTGTTCATGGTGTTGTTCACTTTGAAAGCTGGGGCTGGAGAGAGACCCCACTCCCCTCCCCCGCCCCTACAAAAACCACAGGGTGACCGAGGAAACTCACCATCAACAGCAAGAATTTCTCAGAGACACGAATGCCTTTATACATCATTGTGCATGCAGACATGTGCACCCTCCTTCTGTGCTGTGCACCTGGCTCCCACATGTCCTCCCATGCCAGGCAATGCTATTTCCAATTCCATTCCACACATAATACAGACCCCATCCTCGCCCAGCCTCACCTTAGTGCCAAGTCTACTTTTAGCATCTGGCTTGAAAATGACTAATCAGCTTTGGGCACTTACCCTCCTTCTTCAGTGTGCTGCCAAGCCCACTAGAGATGAGGAGCTGGACTGTTTTCCCTTCCATTCCCTTCTTCTGAGCACCCCTCTCCATGGGTCTGTTCCTAAGCGCATTCTCCCCCATGGATCCTGCTTTATACACATCTCCGAGCATTTGCTATGTATCGCTGGGGGTTTACACCTTCTCCTACACACTGGGAGACAAGAGACAGGATTAGATGACATCTGACAATTTCTCTTTTTTCATCCAACAATGAGACGAGCTACAGGGCTACTGAAAACTCAATTTGCCTTCAGGAGCCCAGGGGTAGGAGTAGCAACGTGCCAACAGTGCCGCGCTTCTAGGGGAACTCGCCTGAATATGTCTCATTTCTCCACACAGGAGACCTGTGCATGAAGCCACAATAGAAAACACTTGGAAGGAAAAAGGCAGCTTCTTTGTTTAGCGAAACTGATGCAGAAAAATGAGGATTTCTCCTCAGATATGTAGGCAAAGAGGGGTGGGGGGCAGAATCCCAGCAAATCAGACCTTGGTCTTTCCTTAGAAATGCAATGAACTTGCAAAGGTGTATGTTTCAGGCTCTCGTTTCTGGAAAAAAAGACTGTGGTTGATTTGATTTGCATAGTTCAGCAACAAAGGTCTGTGCTTGAATCATAGAATCATAGAATACTAGGACTGGAAGGGACCTCGAGAGGTCTTCGAGTCCAGTCCCCTGTCCTCATGGATTGAAGACTCCAATCGAATGGAAAAAGGGGCTACAAGGCCAACCCGCCACTCACAGGATGGAAGATGACTTTCTAGCA